TCTGAATCGTTGAGGGGAGCCCTAGCCCCTAAATGATTAAGAGGCTTTTGTCACCATTAAGAGGTCATTTTTTTTTTGCCAAACAACTCTAGCCTCTTAGCGATTAAGAGGTGTCCTCTTAATGTCACCGTTAAGAGGCAACCAAACAGCCCCGAAGAGTTTTAGTACTTCTCTGATTCACAAGTGAATAATTATAAAACCAGAAAAAATCATTTGAAAATTATATGCGAACCAACATTCATTTCGCTTTTTTTTACCGACAATTCATACTGAATCATTTGAATCCATTTGTTTTACCAAATAGATCGTTTCAGTTAAATCATGGAACTATCATTGCAAGAGTCCCCCGTTTACTCAATCATACTTCGATACAGACTTGAAATCAATCGATTTCCAGATTTCTATGCATCTTATTGTTCCAATGAATGTAAAATTCGAATAAGGATTATGGTTTGGATTCAATTTCATCCTTAATTTGGATTGAAAAAACTTGGAGGAAATGCGTAAAGGTTATCAAAGGGGTTTCAATCGAACTGGATCAAGTAATCCAAATCGGTAGAATAAATACCAGCAAATTAGGGTTGCGGATGAAAGGTCTAAAAGACGAAAAAGGATTTCATGTGGTAGATGAATTCCCGTCGCTGGACATGGTTTTCATGTGCATTATGAGGTGTGTTCATGAAGCATTCAGTGATCTTCTGTGTGTCGATGGAAGATGGGATTGAGATGACACTGATCGTCTGATCGATTAATATGGATCTAAGAACAGCCAAAATGGAACTTGGATTATTCGGTGTATCAGAGGTATATACATATACATAGTCCTTTTGTCCTTTAATCTACACTGAGCTATTGATGAATATCTAACTATTTGAGTATTGTTGTTCACTAGTTTTCGTTAAACAGTTGCTTATATATGATAGACCATCTGATCAATGTCTCTATTAGCCAGAAATAACATAATGGTAAGGCAATTCGGTTGTGTGTGTATACATACATACATACATACATGTATATATTCATACATACATGTATATATACATACATACATGTATATATACATACATACATGTATATACACATACATATATATATATATAGATGTATAGGTAGATCTAACTTGCATAAGTAGGATATTGTCAGAATCTTCAGGAGAACCCTTCATCATCCACAAATGTAAATGGAGTTTCTTAAAGGACCCAAATGAATTCAGAAGAATTTTTGGGTTCTTCATGATATTAGTTTCTGAAGATGATTAGATGGATGATTTCAATTTCTGATTTCTTTTCGATATTTGATGATTAATGTGTATACATATATCAATTGAGTTGAAGTCAAAACCTGCATGGTCGGAACCAGTGACAGGACCCAGGATTTTTGCAAAGCGGGTGGATCAACGGCCCAAAAATTCGTCTAATGTGTTTTTAGCCGAATTCCAGTGTTTCGAGGGATTTTTTTTCAGTTTTTTGGTTGATATTGAGGGATTTTTTTGGTTTTTTGGTTGATGTTTCTTGTATTTTCACATATCCCGAGTACCCCCCAAAGTTTAGCGGGTGCACAGGACCCTACTCAGGGCTTAATAGGTCCGCCCCTGTCGGATCTAGCTTGTTTTCTTTAGAGCAGCAGGGCAAAAAAGAAAGAATGCATCTTTGAGGAGTAGTATAGAGGAGTTGAAAGAAAGATAGAAGTAAGGTGGGGTGGGGGGTGAGATTTAGCCAAGGCATGGGGCAAACTTATTCTACAAGATAATGGGATTAGGACATATCAAAAACAAGAATAACAGTAACTATTCTTACAAGAATATTATGCAATAAAGGGTAATGACACCATCCTCTGGAGCGCCCTTGTAGGGACAAATAGACGAAACCCGTGCATTAGTCAAAAACACGCTCACAACCAAATCCCATAAGCCTAAACCTGCTGATGGGTGATTAACACCCTAAAGCCCAAAGCTGACCCAATAACTTCGAATCCAACTTAAAGCAGGCCTGCCCGAAATCTTTCTCCTTGTAATCGGCGATGTGGGGATTCACCTAAGATGTTACAAACATGGATTCATCATCATACCAATGAGGTTTGCTTAACCATCCTGATGGTACAAGGATCAACTCTGATACCATTTGTAACACCCACAAGCTGATCCAATAACTTTGAATTCAACTTAAAATTATGGTGGAAGTTATTGACATCTCACTACTTGAGGCTTATAAGGAGCTCACAAATCCCATTTTCTATATATGTGGGATGAGTTGTTTGTAATTCCTTGGCAAAATGAACTACTTTGGTCATGTTTTCTTGTGAATGTGGTAGGAATAAGTTTGGCATGTGGGAAGTAAACAATACTTCACCAAACAACATCTACCCGATCCTCATGCAAAGCGAGTGGAGGTCCATAACAAACCAATTGCAAAATTACCCTTGTTCGTAATCTTGTTTCTAATTTCACTTACCCACAAGAACACACAACTTTTGTGGCTGCACTTGTATATAAACATTCTATATGCATTTGCAGGCCAAGTGTAAGACAATAGCTTTTCTATTGTAAGGAAACTATGGTCATAGTGATCAGCATTCTTAAATTGGCTCTCTTTATGTTGGTTCTGGTTCTCCATCCCAGTAGCGAAGGCCAGTTAGTCCCTCTGGTACCAGTTACCCCTTTTGCCCCTCGCCCCCTCTGCAATTTCCAAATGGCCCTTGCCAATCAGGCGTGTGCATATCTGCCATTCGTACAAGTCCCTCCTCAAGCACCTCGGGCTCCAATGGCTCCTCCCCCACCTTCATCTGATGAGGACGGGGAGGATCACAGGCATGGACGTCGTCATAGACATGACCATGACCATGATGATGATAATGATAACGAGCATGACCATCAACACGACCACAAGCGTGGACATGGGCATAAACACCATCATCATCATAGGCATCATCGGCATAGAGATACGCCAATAGAACAGCAATGTTGTAAGTGGCTGTCTCAGGTTGATGATCAGTGTGTTTGTGAGCTGCTTGTTCGATTGCCCCCTTTTCTTGCTAGACCCGTTCATAGGTATTCTGTATTAGTTGGTGGATCTTGCAACATCACTTATTCATGCGGAAGTCGATTAAGGGTCTAAATCTATGTAGCAGTTCCAGTTTTTATGCCTCTGGTAGTTTCTGTAGGATCTCTTTCTTTTCTTTTTGCCATTTGGAGTTATAAATTTGTGATCAATCTGTAGTTTTACATTGTAGATTTTTATTTAATAAAAAAAAATTCAAGAATCCCATTTCATATCTTGAATCAAATGATGGCCAAATAAGAGCATCCACAATAGAGTTACTTGACACGTTTCCTTAGAAGGTTCTTACAAGAACCTGGGACACAAGTTCTTGTACAAGAACTCAACTTTTATGCACATGTACATACTGTATAGATGAATGCTTATTAGGGTATTCCTCAGTTTTCCGTTTTATGTGGTTTTCCCCTGAACTTGACCCTATATATATATAAACAAATAGAGGGTAATGCTGCCATCCTCTGGAGAGCCTTACACATAGAAACACAAATTTTGTGGCTGTACTTGTATATAAAAATTCTGTATGCATTTTCATATGTATCATTAGACAACTGTAAGACAATAGCTTTTTTATTGTACTCAACTTTTATGCACATGTACATTCTGGATAGATGAATTGTTATTAGGGTGTTCCTCAGTTTTCCATTTTTATGTGGTTTTCCCGTGAACCTGACCCTATATACATATATAAAAACAAATAAAGTTATATAGTTATTTATAAATAAAAAAATGGGAAGATGAGGTTCTTGTTAAGAATTCTACTGGGGAGTTTTATTGAAGTTTTTGTTTTGTTGAAGTGGCGCTGATGTGGCAAGAAAAAAGTATAATAATGAGGTTCTTATAAAAACCACGATGGATGCTCTAAATTCAGGTAATTCTAAATTTGTATTTCTGTAGTATCTCTTTCTGTTCTTTTTGCCATTTGGAGTTATAAATTTGCAATCAAGCTATGGTTTTACATCATAGATTTGATTTAATAAAAATTTTAAGAATACCATTTCATATCTTGAATCAAATGATGTTTAAATAAAATCGGGTAATTCTAAATTTGTATATCTACTCAAAAGATCATAGATTTGTGTTTTAGCCTTTGATTTCTGTTGTTTTTGGTCTAGCATGCTACTGTATAACTAGATTTAACACACGAATGACTAATCGAATCGATTCAAAGCATGTAGCTTTTTGTATCTTGGACTTGTTCTTTATGGCAATGATAAAAGCGGATGCCTGAGATAACGATTGATTGATCAAGAGGTTTATTCTATGCTTATCTTCGTGTTCTTTTTTAATTTTTAATCTGTAACACGGGCCAGTTGAAAATGAAGTTGTTGCTATTTTCTCAAGCACTAAATATAATTGATTTTATAGGACGCCTAAAATGTAGAAGCGTCCTATCTTAATACAATAGGTTAATATGATGGTTTTAGGTGTTTTAACAATTTTTTTGGGACACTTTTTAAATAAAATGTCCTATTAGCTATTTAAATAAAGTGTCCTATAAACACATCTTTTCTAAAAGTGTTACTATAGGTTTATAGGACACTTTTTAGGCGTTTTAACAAGTTTTTTAGGACACTTTTAAAATAAAATGTCGTATTAACTATTTTATACGACATTATTAGTATCCTATAAAAAGATGGGTTTTTAGGGCATTTTTAAGAAGTGTCCTATAGAAATAGCTAACATGACGCTTTGTTTTAAAAGTGTCCTAAAAACTTTTTAAAATGCATAAAAACGTCCTATAAACCTTATTGTAACGCTTTTAGGTAGGACATTTTATAGTTTGAGCCTATAAACTAAGTTTTATAAAATATTCTATTAGGACGCTTAGGGATTATTTTTCAGCAGCTTAATAAGCTTAATGGGACTTACAACCTATTCGCTCAGCTATACTTAACTATTCGGTAGTGGCTTAATGATACATAAAATAGCTTATTCAGTAAACTTACATGAGGAAGCTTTATGCAGAAAGCCAAGTTTTTTTCAAACATATCTCTCCCAATTAAAAACACGCTAGTTTTATCTATGAAAAAAACTCTGTGAAACAAAAACTTTCCCAATCTATACAAATTGATTAATCCACACAGACAACTTTATTCATACAGGATTTAATGGAAAATCAACCAAACAACCCTTTAGACGATCTAGACATCCTATAAAACCAATTTTATTATAGTGAAGTCAGATTGCTCGGTCTTTTCTATCTATTCGTGCAGGGGGGAAATCGGGAATCCTTGCTATTTACACAGACAAACCACCATTTGTGCGGCTTTCTTGAGAGAGAAATCAAAAAAGGTAAGAGGTTTTTTGCTTTCTTTTGTGGTAATCCAAGGTTGGATTTTGGAATATCATTTCTATATTTATGCATCCAGCTGGTTGTTCCTTTTGTAATACGCTCGTGTGAACCCGAAAACGACCTTTAACGTGCCCGTACCTTTCCCATTTTCTGGATTCTGATGATCTAGCTGTAGAAATGGTTTTCAGAATCTCTTGTGGACAAGTTATCTTGGTGACATGATTTAACATGATCACAAAATCTTTGGGTATGCCCTCTTATCAGTCTGACTCGCCTCGTAAAAAGGAGTTTGATTCCTTTTGTGTGATTTGTAACGGGATGAATCCCTTACCATATTTTTACGTGAGATATACTGTATATATTCGGTTTGGTTTATCTTGATGACAGTGGAGGACCCAGAATTTTTGTCGAGTGGGTATACAGTATACTTGTAAGGTGGATCAAAAAGGCCTGTAAAGTTGCTCGATTTGTTTTTAGCCGAATTCAACTCGAGGGATTTTCTAAAAGTTTTTTAGTTGATTTCGAGACTTTTTGGTTAATGTTTCTTGCATTTTCTAATATTCCGAAGCACCCCTCAAAATTTAATGTGGGCACCTTTTATAACTAAAAAATTATACTTACAAAAATCGGTTGAACGGGTGTACAGGACTCATTAGGATTTAACATGGTAACATATTCTCCAATATGCCTTCTTATCAGTCTCTCTCACTACTCTCACTCATCTTAGAAAAAAGGAGTTAGATTCCTTTTGTGTGAGCTAGTCTCGTGCTGAATCCTGAACCCTGTTTTCAAGTGAGATATACTGATATGTTTGGTTTGGTTTGGTTTATCTTGGTGACGGTTTAACATGAGAACAGATCTCCGGCATGCCCTCTTATCGGTCTGAATCATCTCTCACAAAAAAGAATATGGTTCCTTTTGTGTGAGCCAATACTGGGCCAAATCCAAGTACCAACTTTCAAGTGGAATATACCAGATATGTTTGGCTTGGTTTGGTTTATCTTGGTGAGATGATGTAACATGACCACAAATCTTAGGTATACCTTGTTATCAATATCACCACTCTCACTCATCTCTGAAAAAGGAGTTAGATTTCTTTTGTGTGAGCCTGCAAGGATTGAATCCCATACTCTACTTTCAAGTGGGATATACAAGATATGTGTGGTTTGGTTTATCTTGGTGACATGATTTAACATGATCACGAATCTTCTGTATGCTATCTTATTAGTCTGACCCATCTCACAAAAAAGGAGTTAGATTCCTTTTGTATGAGCCATCCGAAAACTGAATCTTATATCTTTATTTTAAGTGAGATATACTGTATATGTTTGTGTTCAGTGTTTTTGGTTTTCATGGAACATTTAGAACCAAGGGGTCAAATAGGACTCTTGTTACATGGGTAGGGGCTAAAAGAGATGCTTGTGGGGATGATTTCAGTTTTCTTGTTGATACAACTAGAACGTTGGAATATATCTTTAGTGCCACTATCGGTATGTGAATCCATTTATAGGAAAGGGATTGCTTGTCGTACCAAAACGATGACCGAGGGTCGTTATGGTCAATGTGATGGTAATAAATTTTACACCCTATTATCTTTATAATGAAGCATTTGACAACTCTTAAAAGTAACTTATTAAGCATCAGATACATTTTATTAAGAAAATATCTTACAATTCAATGTTGTCAATTATTATAGCTTATATATATTTTTTCTTAAGGGCAAATTGCATGAAAAAGTAGTGTGCTTTAACTTGATTCATATTTTAAGTAACGTACTTTCAAAACTTTCATTTTGATATTTAAGATGTAAAACTTTAAACATTTAAGTACCTGAGTAACCGGTTGAAGTATTAACCGGTTACCATGTGGATGTGGCGAGTGATGTGGTATCCAACTCAATATTATTTGCTGAAACATTAACCAGATACCACATCACTCACTACCATATCAACATGGTAACCCCGGTTAATACTTCAACCGATTACATGAGTACTTAAATGTTTAAAACTTTACATCTTAGGTGTCATAATGGAAGTTTTAAAGTATGTTACCCAAAATAGAAATCAAGTTAAAATACATTACTATTTCATGCAATTTGTCGATTTCTTAAAACTCCATAAAACTAATTGATGAACTTTATAAATTTACTTAGTTTTTTTAAATGTATTTTTTAGTCAAACAAATTATATCAATACATTTATTCTTTTTAATTTGGTACCACACCAATATATAATTTCAATATTTTGATCATGAATATATTCACATTTTGTACAACATTATAAGCTTATGTTTTACAACTTATTAATGTTGATGTACAACTTTTTAAAACTGCACGTTTGAACTCTATAAAATTAATTGATAATCAAGTGATAAATGCAATTAACTGTAAAATAAACACTTGAACCTTATTAATGCATCAGAATACTGTATAATTTGATATCCAGCTGAAGACTTTCCCGCTCTCTCAAAGTTGCATAAAAACCATAAAATAAAAGCTAGAGGGTGAGATAATAGAACGAAACATGAATCAAGATTAAGGGTTCGAGTTCTTAGCTTCAGAATCAATATGCATCAAGCTGCTCAACGGGTAAACTTCTAGTCAGTCCAACATAAACAAGTTAACCTAATTTATTTAGGGTAAATTGCATGAAAAAGTAACTTATTTTAACTTGATTTTTATTTTGGGTAACATATTTTCAAAACTTCCATTTTGGTACCTAAGATGGAAAGTTTTAAACATTTAAGTACTCGGGTAACCGATTGAAGTATTAACCGGTTACCATGCTTATGCGGCGAGTGACGTGGTATCCAACTCAATATTATTTGCTGAAACATTAACCAGATACCACATCACTCGTCACATCAGCATGGTAACCGATTAATGTTTCAACCGGTTTCACGGATACTCAAATGTTTAAAACTTTACATCTTGGGTATCAAAATGGAAGTTTTGAAAGTACATTACCCAAAATATGAATCGAGTTAAAGCAAGTTACTTTTTCATGCAATTTGCCCGTTTATCTAATATATTAGTTTATAGAGGTCTATAGAGAAATCTTTTTTTTTGGGAGGCTGGCTAATTGTCAGCTTGAAATGAAATATTTTCATGAGTTGACTGATGATTAAGAATGTGACGGACGATTCTCTGCTGGAGGTTTATATCTAACCCTGAGAGTGGAGGTCAGGGTCAGAAGTGAAAGGATAGATGCTCGAACATTGGTGATTGTTGGAATAGATGCAATCAACAACCGTACCTTATGCATTGCGCAAGTGTACCTTTGCTTTATGAAAAAGCATGGGTCATTTTTTGTCCCTTGTCGAGGCATTTTTGACTTAATTCATTTCGCGACATAAAATCAATCATTCATCCTATTCTTGGACGTACCGAATAAAACAAAGTAACAAATGAAACATGAAAGAATAAGATCCCGTCTATTGAACAGAAGAATGATTGACGTTTAAACTTTTATGCAACAATCTTTTTTATACTTACAGTTATTTCGTAAACTTTTTTAACTGTCTTTTGAAATAAATAAAAAAACCCAGTTATGGTTAGGCATAATATGATTGAACGATGACCATTTAAAAACTCGACCAAACTTTATATAATCTGATCATTGTTATACAAATTTATTTAGTTTTGAGGATTTCATTTTTGAAAGTAAATTATTTTTGGAATAATGTTACGTTATTATGATGAACTATATGATAAAATTTTAAAAGGAAAATTGCATGAAAAAGTAATGTATTTTAACTTGATTCCTATTTTGGGTAACGTACTTTTAAAACTTCTATTTTGGTACTTATGATGTAAATTTTAAACATTTAAGTACTCGGATAACCAGTTGAAGACTAATTTTAGATTTTAAAAAGACTAATTTTAGATTAAAAAAAATCCATGGCACTAACTATGTTAGCAAATGATACTGAGTTGAATATCACATCACTCGTCATATCAGCATGATAACCGACTAATGCTTCAACTGGTTACTTGTGTACTTAAATGTTCAAAACTTTACATCTTAGGTACCAAAATGAAAGTCTTGCAAGTACTATGTCTAAAATAGGAATCAAGTTAAATTACGTTACTTTTTCATGTAATTTACCTTTTTCTAAGATATATCTTTTTAGAGGCGGGTTTAAATAAAAAGACTAATATTGTTAGACTGTATTAGCATGTTTTTGTGAGTAAAATGTTTTTGAAAATGTAAGTAACAATTAATAAAATAGTACAATAATAAAAAAGTGTAAACTACATATTTGGTCCTTATGATTTGTTGAAAACAACACTTTTCGTCCCTATAATTTTAAAATTACAAAATGACCATCATAGTTTACAAAAACGTCTGAATCTGGTCCATTCTTTTAACAACAATTAAACAATTCCATTAAATATGGACATTTTCGTCATCTTATTATTTTTTTTGTTTTTTTACCTAATTAAAAACCACAAGCATCACAATCGTAAAATTGTTTTTGTTTGGATAAAAGACAAAAGATCAATAAAAAGTGCCTCCATTTAGCGAATTTTTTAACGGTTGTTAAAGAGAGAGATCAAATCCGAACGTTTTTACAAACCATAAAGATCATCTGTTAATATCAACATTACGGGGATGAAAAATGTTGTGTTCAACAAACAGAAGGACCAAATTGGTAGTTTACCCTAAAAAAATATGTTTTTTTTTTACTTAAATGAAAACAATTTTTATGTTAAAAAGTAAGATATTAGTGTGATTTGTGTATTAAGGTTGAAGTGGCCTAAAATAAATATAAGTTGACCACAAAAGTCAATGATTGCCAATGATTAGTACCACCAAATTGTAACTACTTAAAATTAAATATATAAAAATTACTTTTATTTAACATTAAATGAAAGTTTATTTATTTATATTCAAAAGGAAAATAATTAAATGAAAACCATAAAAAAGCTGTAAATCTTGAAAATCTATTTTATGTGTTGTTTCACGTTATGAAATAATGAATATGAAAATACAGTTTCGTACAATGTGATTATTTCTAATATGTATCTTTTTGTATTTTTCAGGTAAAAAAATTGCTTAACGGCAACTATAACCGGCCCCACAAGGAAATCGGCTTCAAAAGACACCAATGTGAAGGGAATTTCCATTCTTTTTTGGTTTCACGTCGTGAATTAACAATGTTACAACCAAATTTATTTGTGAAACAATAAATGATCAATGGTTTTCATTATTCTCAACTTTTTAATGGTTTTTAAGGGTTGTTTGGTTGGTAGTTCATTAAGTCATGTATGGATAAAACTGTCTGTATGGATTGATCGATCTGCATGGATTAAGAAAGTTTTTGTATGAGAGTTTTTCATAGATAAAAGGTGCATGGTTTTTAACCGGAAGAGACATGTTTGAATTTTTTTAGGATTTTTGCATAAAACTCCTCCTGTAAACTTATTGAATAAGTCACTTGACTTGGTATTACGTGAAACCAATATGTTTTTATAAGACCCATGAGACTATTTTTTTACACTTGAAACTTCACAGCAAAACGTTGTGAATGTTCAATTTTATTTTTTACCTTCACAACGTTTTGCTGTGAAGTTTAAGTATAAAAAAAATAGTCTTATGGGTCTCGCGAAAACAGACTGATCTCACGTCAACCCAACTCTAAGTCACTTTCCATATCATTACACTCATTATACTAAAAGTTATTATATTTTACAATAAATACATGATAATTCATCTTAAAAAAAGAAGCAATAATTTTATTTGTAATGAAGGATAATAGAAAAATGACAAGGGTATTCAGGGGATTTTACCCGAAAAATCATGAAAACATGCATCATCACTTGTACGGTACAAGTTAACAATGCATGTTAATCAAGTCCGGGGCAAAAATGTAAAATCACTCATCTACCAATATTCTTATTCATACAAAAATTTGTTATGTCCGTCAACTTGGTAATGGAATAATGTTCTGCCTCTACTACAGAGCGGCGGCCACCATCGCCGCCGCCGCTCTACTGATGGCTCTGCCGCCGCTGTCTGCCGTCGTAGCAAAGCTCCGAGAATGGCCAAAGTTGTACAAGAACTGGTTTACGATCACCGACCCTGGTCCTGCCACCATCTCCGCCCATGTCTCATCGGCTTCTCGGCCCCTTTTTTGGAAGACGGTGGTGGCGTCTAGCCGGTGAATTTTCCACCCTTTAACATTCCGTAACCGGTGAATTTTTCCGATTTGCCGGCAAGCGAGTTTACACGTATTTATCTTTGTTTCATTAATGGCGTCTTCCAACAATTTGGCGCGAGTTCTTTTGTCGCCGGAATTTGAATATTCGGCGCGGAAATAAGAATCGAATTCCGGCACTCCGATGGCTCGYCGRATYCCTTTCGAGTARTCGGCRTYMGGKTTATACATSTTTCKRACTTCTTCMACYATYCCGGCGGCCACCATYCGRTCGACMCGRTCSGAMACGAAYCGRTGGAGCACMRGCATTGCGACGTCGACCCACAAGAAACAAACCTCGTACCGTGATTGGAACTCGTAATTCTGATCATCAATCAATGCTTCGATGAAAGAATTCGATCCTCCGGCGATGATCGGAAGCTTACCTCTTCCGACGATCGATTTCATTGTGAGTGACGCCGTGCTGACGAAGTTTCCGGCGGTGAAATCCGCCTCGGGATCGACGATTCCCAGGAGGTGGTGGGGGACGCCGTCGCATTCTTCGTCGGTGATTTTATTTGTGACGATATCTAAACTTTCGTAGACTTGCATTTTATCGGAGTTTATGATCTCAGCTGGGTATCGGGTGGCGAGATCGATCGAGAGTCTTGATTTTCCGGTACCGGTGGCACCCATGACCACCACCACTTTTTCCTTCTGTGGCCGGCACCGGAGCGCCGATAAGTCCATTCCTCCGGTGGGTATTTGCAGAAAAGATGCCTGAGCTTGTGGGCACATCATCATTGTCATTATTTTGACTCTTGGTAACCAAAAAAAGTATTCAATTCCTTTGCTTTTTTAATTATGCGGCAACCTGAAAACGTTTGTGGAGGAGAGAGACGGTGGTTAGTGGTGGTGGCGGCGGCTAGCAATGAATCATTTGAAACTACTTTTATGAGTTGGGAACTGTGAGATGAAATGTGCATGATGGAGCACACATAGATATATGTCGTATTTATAGTGAAGAAAAAGTGATATGAGAATGGACATCTCCTTTTCATCAAATTTAAATCCTTTTATTTTATTTTAATCATTGTTTTTTTTTTCCACTTAATTATATTTATATATATATATATATATATATATATATATATAAATATAGGTTCAAACAGAAACTCCTGTGATTTATGAGAACGTAAAAATAATTTAATAACCTTGAACTTTTTTAATTAATAAATTAACTTATATTAAATATAAATAAATTAATAAGGACAGTAATGTAATTAAGTAATTTTTATAATTTTTATTTTATTTTAATTAGTCATAATTATCCTTTTTTTCCTGTACATTCGTTTCCACTCTTTTCTCTTCCCTTGTGATAATTGTGTGATTGTGTAACCATAAACTATCGAAACCGTGATCAATCAAGTGTAATCATAACCTATCGAAACCATAAGTAATCGTTGTGATAAATGTGTGATTGTCTAACCCTAACCAATCGAAACCATGATCAAATTAAGTGCACAAGTAATGTTATAATAGTGATATCACATGATTATCACACCCATATCACATCAAATCGGTAGTCGATGTCCTAAGTTAACCCTAGCCGCGCGGAATTCATGTGATAATTGTGTGATAATCACATGATTATCACACCCATATCACATCAAATCGGTAGTCGATGTCCTAAGTTAACCCTAGCCGCGCGGAATTCATGTGATAATTGTGTGATAATCACATGATTATCACACCCAAATCGTGTTGAAATAAGCGATAACCATAATACCCATTATGTTATCCAGATTATTGGGTTTAGTGTGATCATGTTTTTAAAATTTTATCACTTTGAATTCCAATATTACCCTTTGCCTCTTAATGTTTTTTGAATTGTTTTGATTTCATTTTTAATTTATAAAATCTTTTAATTATATTGTTATCTCAATATGAGGTTAATAGGTTGTTCTCGTGCTTTCACAAATCACAGGGGTTCTTGTTTGAACCCTTCCCTATATATATAAAGAGTCTGGTTCAAATGTTAACCAAGTTTATCGTTGTTAATATGATATTATAATCCATCAATACCATCACATGTGATGCTAAATCATAGACGCATACAACCTTTGGCACTGCCTAAGTCGTATAACACGTCGTCCGTACATCACAGAGTCTCTTAACGCGTATTATCACATGTGATAAGGGTGTTCTCGCGTTCTCGTAAAATGGAGGTGTTCTCAGTTGAACTTCCACACACACACACACACACACACACACACACACACACATATATATATATATATATAGGGGCCTAATCAAATTAGAACTAGATAGTTTGTGATAACTGTGAGGTCCAAATTAGTAAATTGTGTTGATTATTCAATTTACTTTAATTAGTTTAATATTCCAATTTAATTTAATTAGTTTAATTATTTTAATATATGTATATATATACACACATGGACCAAATCCGGTGGCCTTCTCCAGCACCCACCACCACTTCGGTGACCTTCTCCGATCATCTTATCTAACCAAGACGCCATATTAATAATATAGCATGATTATTACATAAATACAATTAAATTAAGTAAAAAATGGGTACACACTAACTATATTATTACCATGTCATGTCATTTTTCGTGATTATTTTTTAACTTTGAACTTTTAAGAACCCTTCTAAAATTATTATATCATGATATCTAAAAACTGTTATAAAATTCGTGTAATTATTATAAAAATCATTCAAACATGTCAGTATTTTACAGATTCTCCATTTAATCTTATACAAAATAACCAATTTAGGAAAAAAAAAGCATAAAATTTTAGTAATTTTTTTATATCCAATGACCAGATTTTTAAGCCATATTTCATTAGTCTGAATAGATGATTCTCCTCTCTAACTCTATTTGAGATTTAGGGGTTGTTTGACAGTTGCTGAATGGTTTGGTGTAGAATGATTAAACGATCAGAATAATTAAGAGCCTCTCATGATATAGTGCAAAATGAAATATAAATTTTTGATAATTGTTTACAATGAAATTAGGCCGCTGAATGGTTAATGGAGACCCATGATACAAAATCATTCAGAAAGTTTTTAAAACCATTAAAAGGCAGACTTTTTTTTTTTTTGCAAAACAAGATTCATCTCTTAACGATTTAAAGATTGAATCTTAATAAAACTATTAAGAGGTAAACAAACAACCTCATAATATTTTGAATTACTAAATTATTATAGTTTTGATCATTTATCATTATTTATTTCATAATAATCGTTTATATATGTGATTTGTTTTGGATGTAGTCCCTCATACTAAGGACCATCCATTATTCTTGTTAACAACAAGGGTATTTCAGACTTTTTACCATTTTTCTCTATTTTTTGTTGAAAACTCATCTTTTTTTTATTAACCTGGATATCCAACCCGTTATACGAGCCGACTAATCCAAGACCGGCCACCTGCTTTGCAGATAGCCCAGAGTCACAACATTTGAACCTCCGTGGTCACAAGATGATTTTTATTCTTACTTGGATTTGAACATGAGACCTTCAGGTGCTTTTGAGCCAAACTTATGAGCAATCAGACACCACTCTTGTGGTTAAAAAAAAAAATTCATCAAGAATGACAATGAATAACATTAACAATTTGTTTACAACAATTTTGTAAAATTCCATTCCAAAAAGATTGTGATTTAGAATGAACCCGAAACGAAACACATGAATCAGACGTACAATCAAAAACATAAAAAAAATCCTTACATTAACTGTACTAGTTTTAATTTAATTATGTATTTCAACAGTTATAAATTACTATCACAAATTACAAATATACCCTTTTCAAGATTACGCATTGGGTATATTTATATATTGAATATTAGTAGTTTCTACAGTCACCTACGAATTTGAATTACAATGTTACGTATCTTGATTGTAAATTACGAATATAGCCTTATCAAGATTACCTTATACGTAAGATATATTTGGAAATAAGAGATGGTAATTGGAGTTATTGCATATTGTTTGTAATTTATATGATCAATTATGAATTGAATACGTATCTTAGTATTACTACAAGAAACAAAGGTAACAACAACGAAAAAAATCTCAAACAAAACCTTGGTAAAAATTCGTAGCAATTTAGTTGGTCGTAAACACATTTTATCACGGATTTTACAAAGGCTCTTCAGATTAGCTACGGAAGTTTCCGTCACAAAACGATGGTTATAGAATTTATTAATTTTCTATTTTTCAAATAAAAAACCACCAAAAAAACGATGAATTGTAATTAGCTACAGATTAACATAGGCTTTGATTCACCAATCCGTCACTAAATATGATTTTGTATATAAAAACATGGTTTAAAGCTGTCATATTTTTGGGTATGAAAGTTTTCATATATACATTTAGAAAATTACAAAGCAATAACAGATTAATCTATGCTGTTTTTGTTTTTGTTTTTAGTAATGAGTTACAAATTACCAATGTACCCTTATCAAGATTACCTTAACCCTAATAAAACAAAATCTGTTTGGAAAGAAGCTAGATATGAGAATTGCATGGATAGTATAGTCAATTCCAAAGTGGATGAATGGTCCTATTAGGTTTGATTTCTTTTTAATATTGAGGGGTTGTGCTTTTCGACCTTTTGTAATGGAGGTTTCTCATGGTATTTATTCTTACAAATGTAATTACACTATAATACAAACCCTAATTTCGTTTCTAACCCAATATAACATAAATTGGTCTTACGGATTTCACAAAAAACCCTAGGTTTCACATGATCCCAAGTCTATATATATATATATATATATATATATATATATATATATTATACCGTTAATTAAGTTTTAAAAACCATAATGTATATCCACTCTTTTAGGGTTTGAAAATTCGGAATTTTGAAAGGAGGTGCAACATGTAAGAATATATACACATTCGATCGACAAATAAGTCAAATATATGTTTATGGATATATGTGTGTGTATTATATATGTATAATGTTCGAGAATTATGATTTTGTTAATAACTTTGACCTGAGAGCCACAAAGCATATATCTTAATGGATTTGTGAAATCTTGTGTTGACAAAAATGGATGTTTTAAGTTAAAGTTTTTCAATAGGCTTATATATGTATATATCGAATAAGTTCTCTCTCTCTCTCTCTCTGTGTGTGTATATATATATATATATGTATATATATAAGATAGAGTTCACGTAAGACCAGGGAGACCACTTTTTTACACCTGAAACTTCACAACAAAAATGCTGTAAAGGTACAAAAAAACCGAACTTTCACAATATTTTGCTGTGAAGTTTCAAGTGTAAAAAAATAGTCTCACGAATCTCAAAAAATAGGCTGGTCTTACGTAATTTGAAGTCTTTCTCTCTCTCTATATATGGATATGTATTTATTTATATGGGAATTTGGGTTATGCATGCATGCAAGAAAATGAAGGGTAATTTGTTGGTAATGGAATCATGGCCTATCATTGATGCATAGGGCCAAAAAAAGATTTCATCATTAAAAGATTTTAAAGTTGACCAAAAAGATTATCCATTTCGATATATTATTCTGATTGTGATGGAGAGATGCATACCTTCAAATTTAGTTATGTCTTTAATTCATAAATATTATATATATATATATATATGTGAGTTATTATACGATCCTTTATATTTGTACAATTAATACAACTCAAATTTAACCGTTCATTTAATTTGATGAATATGCATTTTTCATAAAAGTTTTGATTATTTCCTAATATAAAGTATTTATCATAAATAATGAACTATAGTCATCTTCCATAAATATTTAAATCATAATAAATGAACTCTCATCATTTCCATAAATATCTAAACTGATTGAGTCGTATTAGTTGTACAAATAAGTATGGTTGTATTTAAAATATACCATATATATATATATATATATATATATAGTGATTTTTCATACAAACCAACCTATTATTATACACTA